AGCAGTGCCACATCAGCAGTGCCACGTCAGACACAGAGCCATGTCAGACAAAGTGCCACGTCAGCAGTGCCACGTCAGCAACATGACGGGCCTGGCAGGCCAACTGGCCAATGAGCCCATTGCCGACTACAAAAAGCGCGTCCATGCTCAGCTCGCTGCAATTGAGGCTGAGGAACAACGCCAGCTGGCAGTCAAGGCTGCCCAGCTACAGGCTGATGAAGCAGCAACAGCAGAGAAGCTGCGGCTACAGGCCGAAGCAGACGCAGATGCCCAGGTTCGCCGCAAGGAAGCCCAGGCTCTGCTGCAGCGGCATGAAGCCAACAGCATCGAGAAACTCAAGTACTAACATTTTGAACCGAACGGCGACGAGCCAACACCGGAAGAACAGCATAAGGAGCTCATGGCCAAGCTCGTGAGCAGATTGGTTTGCACATGTAACCACCTACACTCCGAGCTGGCAAACCTTCAGCGGGCCGTGCGGGACCATAAGATTCAGCACGAGGATGCCACACGGGCACTGGACGCCTGTGTACTGGACCTGGAACAGGCTGTACCAGGACCAGATGCTGGAGCTTCCAGCAGTGCATCCTCTAGCCGCCAACTGGAGGAACGCGTTGACCACGTAGTGGCAATGCTAGGAGACATAAGTGCCTTCACAGAGCCGGTCACCATCAGCCAGCGGTTCGAGTTGTTGGACACTAAGATCAGTCAGCAACAGCAGACTGACCACAGCCACAACAACAGCTCGGCAAGGCCATACAAGATGCCGACGTTCCGGATCGAGAAATTTGATGACTACACACATCAAGACCCGGTCGTCTGGTGGCAAGGATTTACAATGGAGTTGAGGATTCACGAAGTCCCTGACCATCTGTTCATCAGTGCTCTGTTCATCAACACCAAGGGAGGTTGTCAGATCTGGCTCAGCCACATGGCAACCATCCACGGCGTCTAGGTTTCAGACCATGTACAAGAAGGTCTCCTAGGAGGACATGACAAAGGAATGGAAGAAGCGGTTCATCGTCGACGACGCCCCGACACTCGCCGTCAACCGCATCTTCACGATGGCTCAAGGGAGCACACCGACACGTGACTGGCTCACGGATTGGCAGAAAAGCGTGGCAACGCCCGACTTGGACTTGTCATTTCCGCATCTGCGGCGTGAGTTTTACAACAGGTCATGCGCCGCTCTCAGCCTCGCACTTGGCGATCGCGAGCAGTACAGCACTTTCGCAGAGATCATCAACAAGGCGAGAGAGCTCATCAAGACTAACAGGCCGGCTGCACACGAGAAGTCCACGTGGCAGCCAACCTATGTGGAGAAGGTACGAACTGGTCTGCGACAGCAGCAGTTCGCTGCAGTCCAGTCAGACAGTGGAGATAACCCAGCAGCCATTCCAGCATCAAGTGACGGAGATCAGGTGGCTGTTGTCCAGCCGCGAAGCAACAACAAGTCCCGCAACAATGGGAAGGCGAAATCCGCATCGCAGGCAGGAAATGGACAGCCAGTACAAGTTCCATGGGTCAAATTTGGATTGACCGAGGCGGAGTACAAGGTCCGCGGCCGCTACGGCAGCTGCTATTGGTGCAACAGCACCAAGCACAAGACCTCCCTGTGCCAAGATCAGGGCAAGGAGGATGTGCGACCCCGCCTCAGCTCGGGAAACTGAGCTCCGCGGAAGGTGAGGCGATTCCACCTTCTACTCCGCCAGATTCGGACGCCTTGCTAGAGGCCTCCTGCACATCTGGGGAGAGCGCGAATGTCGCAAGTCCTCGGTATACTTACGAGGATTATGCTGTCCACTTGGTTCCACCGCTGGACCAACCGCTCCACGTGCAACAATTCACCGCATGCACGGTTTTATCACCATCGGCAACCGATTCGGCAGCTTCGCCGCAATCTATCGCCAGGGATTCGACGTCATGGTCAAGACTTGAAGAGCTCGACCCATTGACGTTCACGGACTTCCAGTGGATGCCCGTTCCCTCGACCGGACAATTGTCGAAACCGCATTGCAACGTGCTCATGGCACAATTGCGGGATTACTTGCACACTGCAGTACCAGCTCCGTTGATGGACGACGGAGCAGAGGTTGTCAACCTTCACGCTTACATCGTGAAGATCGGCCGCGAGTTCAAGACGCAACGGTTCGACGACATCGACGCACCATTGCTATATGTACGCATTCAAATTGGACAGGCGACCTGCAGTGCCTTGATCGATTGCGGAGCATCTCGCAACTATATCAGCCAGGACTTCATGGTGCGCGCCGGCCTTGGCCCACGTGTCCGGAGGAAGTCCCAGCCTACGCAAGTCACTCTGGCAGACGGTCATACGCACAAGTCCATTGACCAGTGCATGAACGCCGTCCCAATGTACTTTGCCCCTCACGCAAGTGAGGCGGTGTCCTTTGACGTTTTGGACACCAAATTCGACATGATCTTGGGCATGTCATGGCTCCGAAGCGAGGATCACCCGGTGAACTTCTTCCACCGCACCGTTCACATCCGTGATCGGAACGGAGTACTAGTTCCATGCACGGTGCCTCTTCCTCATCCTTCGATTAGCTGCCACGTGGTATCCGCCGCAAGCATGCGAGCTTCCATCATCAGAGACGACATCGAGGAGATGGGGGTGTGTTTTCTCCACGCCCTCCCGCCCCATGACGCTTCATCGACGGACTCACCTTCGGATCCACGCATCATCGAACTTCTCGACGCCTACAGCGACGTGTTCGAAGGCCCRCACGGAGTGGTACCGGATCGACCCATCCGCCACGAGATCATCCTCGAGGACGGGGCTGTACCTCCGCGCGGTTGCATCTACCGTATGAGTGAGGAAGAGTTAAGTGTGCTTCGGGCACAACTCGACGACCTTCTAGAGAAAGGCTGGATTCGGCCTAGCTCATCGCCATACGGTGCCCCTGTTCTCTTCGTCCGGAAGAAGAACAAGGACCTGCGGTTGTGCATCGATTATCGCAAGCTCAACGCGCATATGATCAGGAACACCGGCCCTCGCCCACACATCGATGACCTTCTCAAGCGATTGGGTGACGCCCAATTCTTCTCTAAGCTGGATCTTAAGTCAGGGTACCACCAACTCGAGATTCGCAAGGAGGATCGCTACAAGACCGCGTTCAAGACACGGTATGGGCATTTCGAATGGCTGGTCATGCCGTTTGGCCTTACGAATGCCTAAGCCACTTTCCAAGCGGCTATGACAACGGAGTTCCGACACATGCTGGATTGGTTTGTACTCATCTACCTCGACGACATCTTGGTGTATAGTCGGAGTTTGGACGAGCATGTGGAGCACCTGCGCACCGTTTTGGAGCGGCTATGACAAGCCAAGTACAAAGCAAACCGCGACAAGTGCGAGTTCGCACAGCAGGAGCTGGAGTACTTGGGACACTATGTGACGCCCCAAGGCATCCGTCCGCTCGAGGAAAAGATCGAGGCCCTACGAGTATGGCCCGAGCCCACCAACACCACGGACGTTCGTTCATTCATGGGATTGGCGGGCTACTATCAGCGATTCATCACCGGATACTCCAGGATTGCTGCACCTATGACGAGGTTACAGTCGCCAAAGGTGCCATTCGTATTCGATGACAACGCACGCCGCTCATTCCAAGCACTTAAGACGGCTATGCTCATGGCACATGTCCTTAGCATCTATGACCCCACCCTGCCGACGCGAGTGACTACGGACGCTTCCGGCTATGGCATGGGGGCAGTCTTGGAACAGCACGACGGCGACGACTGGCACCCTGTGGAGTATTTCAGCCACAAAGTGCCTCCCATCAACTCGCTTGATGATGCAAGGAAGAAGGAGCTGCTCGCATCCGTGATGACTCTCAAGCGCTGGCGGCACTTCCTCCTTGGGCGTCGTAGGTTTACATGGGTCATAGACAACAATCCATTGACCTACTATAAGGCGCAGGACACGGTGAGCAGCACGATTGGACGATGGATGTACTTCATCGACCAATTTGACTTCACACCGAAACATGTCCCCGGCCTCTCCAATCGCGCAGCAGATGCACTCTCGCGAAGACCTGATCTTTGCGCTATGACACATCATGCCTTCGCATTCGACGAGGAGCTTCAGCGACACTTCATCCGCGTATATAAGTCTGATCCGAACTTCGGCACGCTCGTTGCACAGCTATCTTCGGATCACCCGCCAGCCAGCCATTACCGCATTGCCAACGGGTACTTGCTCCTCCACTCGAGAGGCAAGGACTTACTATGTGTCCCACGCGACCGTCGTCTTCGGACTCGCCTCCTCGGCGAGTATCATGATTCACGACTCGCCGACCATTTATGAGTCAACCACACTATTGCACGGCTTCGACAACGATTCTGATGGCCTGACCTCATTACCGACGTCACTCGGTATTGCGACTCTTGCGAAGTTTGCCGACGCAGCAAGCCCCGCAACCGCAATCCCTACGGCGAGTTACACCCGATGCCTATCCCACGGGAACCCGGTCTCTTCATTGCCGTGGACGTCACCGGTCCGTTTCCTCGCGACCGGCTCGAGCACGATGGCATCCTCACGGTCGTGGACCGATTGAGTAAGTACGCGCGTTTTCTACCTTGCAAGTACTACTCCACGGCCCCTGAGCTGGCACGCCTGGCCACGTTGTCAACGACCGCGACACTCGCTTCATGTCAGTATTTTGGACTGCTCTAATGCAGGAGTCCGACACAACAATGAAACCAAGTTCGGCTCGGCATCCTCAGACAGACGGGCAGACGAAGCGGGCACATCAAACCGCTCAAATGATGCTTCGTACGCTCATCCGTCTGGACCAGAAAAATTGGGTTGACCGCCTCCCCGACATCGAGTTCGCCTACAACACTTCGGGTGCATCCGGCGATCGGCGTGACTCCATTCGAGTTGCACCACGGTGGACGGAAAGGCCGGATCTTCGCTGACCTTCTACTCCCTCGACCAGCCGACATTGACGCTGCCTGCTCTCCCGCTTCCGTCCGGAAGTACAGGGAATTGCTGACTCAAGCCCGCGCAAATATGCAAAAGGCTCAAGTCCGCATGCAGCAGCAAGCCAACAGGCGTCGCGTACCATGTCCCATCTGCGCCGGTGATCTGGTTTGGGTCTCTGCGGAAGACTTTGTACTGGAATAGGATGTTTCACACAAACTGCTTCCCAAGTGGTTTGGACCTTGGTCTGTGACAGCAGCCGCAGGCGATAAGCCCGATGGCCCTTCATTTGTGGTCAATATTCCAGAGCATCTGACGATCCATCCGGTCTTCCACGCCTCGAAGCTGGCAACATACACACCAGCCAAGAGCGACAACTTTCCGGACCGACGATCGCAGGACCCTCCTTCTATGGATGGCCATCAGGAAGTTGACCGCGTCATCTCCGATCGCAAGTACGGCAGCAAGCCGCGGCAGTACAAAGTCACATTCAAAGCGATCGCGACGAAACTCGGTGGATTTCAGGCGCAGATTTGAAAGCATCCGCACCACTGATCTACGCGCATCATGAAAAGCGGAGGTTAGCTCAGGAAGCTTCACGACCAGTCCCTCCCACCCGGACTGTGGTCCCTCCCTCAGACAGACAGCTTCGCCTTCGCAGGTCAGCTCGGTTCTTCAAGGAGGGGGGGATGTGGCATACTGCGTAGCCACACGGGCCCTGCAGGGCCTGTCCCGGACATTCAGCCTAAAAGCCTAAAACTTAGGGCTTACAGGCCCCGGTCGTTTCAGCCTGGACGCTGAAAAACGAGGGCCTGCAGGCCCTACCCTGTTTCAGCCTATTTCTGGGTCTTTTCAGACCCAGAGTTTTCAGCCTGAAACGGAGGGCCATTTTCAGGCCCTCATTGTTTCGACCTGCCCCTAAGACTCAGGCACGTAAACAGGGATGCGGAACAGGCCAAGAATAGCCTGTTCCTTACAAGTTTGAGCAGGAGCCGCAGCTGCAGCCCCTGCCTCCCTTYGGCAGGCTCAGGAGGCACACCCGGTARTACATAGGAAGTTYCCATGCACYTCACGGGTAGGTAGTTCAGTAGGCACGAGGTAGTCTTCAGGATTTCGGCCGCAGCACTCAGGAGGAGCGCTGCAGTAGTCCTCAGCGCTAGGTGGTATTAGCGCTAGCTGTAGTCTTCGGCGCTGGGCGCCATAGCTGTAGCTGAAGTCTTCAGCGCTGGGCGCTGGTAGGTGGTAGATCGTAGCGTGGGATAGAGACTGGCGGAGGCCAGTGGTACTTACCTGTGGCGCCATCGCTCCAGCTCCATCTTCGTGGTACCTGCATCAAGGCGCCAACTTCACAGGTTAGTACTGGACACAGAGAGA